ATATACAGTGGCTCACAGCTTATTTGATGCAAGCAAAAATTTTTTGAAAAATGTTGTTTATTTCAAAATATTTTGCAAAATTAAAAAAACAAAGTATGCAGAGTTATTGTTTATAGTGTGTTTATTCATTTAAAAAAGAAAAAACCCAAAAATCTTTTTCCATTCCTTAGTAATGCATCAAAAACCAAAACCAAATGAAAAATTCATGTCACAGCTTAAATGATGCAGTTAAGAATACCGTTATTTTTGTCGCCAGATTACACAGAAATTAAAATATTTTTATTCTGCGATCATTTGTAATCTAGTTTTTGAGCGAAAATAATATAAAAATTAAAGTGAGTGCATTTTGTTAACCATAGGACGGCGCACATCAATTGAAAAGCGTGAGTTAGTGTTGGAGTACTTTAAAAAGGGAATTCCCCAGCGTAAAATTGGTGAAATGGTAAATATAAGCTCTTCAACAGTTCAACACATAATTGAACGCTTCGTACATGAAAATCGCATAGAAAATAAGGGACGAAAGGCTTCCAATAAAATTTTTACAGAAAAGGAATCGAGGTGTTTGGTAAACCAAATTCGAAAAAATCCAACAATTAGCGCTCCAAAGTTGACAGACATGGCCAAAATAGATTTTGGAAAAATTTGTCATCCTGAAACCGTCCGCAGAATATTGAGAGAATCAAATTTCAATGGAAGAATAGCTGTAAAGAAACCTTTCGTAAGTGCAAAAAATAGAATTAAAAGGTTGCAGTTTGCACGAGAGCATTTAAATAAGAGTCCAGCATTTTGGCGAAATGTACTTTTTGCAGACGAAGTCAAAATAAACTTATTTGGATCAGATGGAAGATCTTATGTATGGCGCGAAGTCAATTCTGAGCTCAAACCACAAAATTTACGTGCTACCGTAAAACACGGAGGTGGTAATGTTATGGTTTGGGCATGTATGTCATCAAATGGAGTAGGAAATTTGGTCTTCATCGAAGAATCTATGAATAAAAATATTTATTTAAAGCTTCTTCAAGAAAATTTGATTCAAAGTGCAACGAAATTGCAGATTGCAGATGATTTTCGCTTTTACCAAGACAACGACCCTAAGCACAAGTCAGCATTAGTACAAACGTGGTTGATATGGCAATGTCCACACATTGTCCAAACTCCTGCACAATCACCAGACTTGAACGTTATTGAAAATTTGTGGTCCGTTTTGAAGACAAATATCAGAAAACATGACATCCGCAACAAATTTGACTTAAGAAACGCTTTACAGCAAGAGTGGAGTAAAATTAGTCCAGATTATACCAAAAAACTGGTTGATTCCATGCCAAAAAGGCTTCATGCTGTTATTACTAATAAGGGATATCCAACAAAGTACTAAGTACTTAGAATTAGTCCGGAAGTTTGTAAAAATATTAGTTTTTTTGATGTTGCATCATTTAAGCTGTGACATGAATTTTTCATTTGGTTTTGGTTTTTGATGCATTACTAAGGAATGGAAGAAGATTTTTGGGTTTTTTTTTTTTAAATGAATAAACACACTATAAACAATAACTCTGCATACTTTGTTTTTTTAATTTTGCAAAATATTTTGAAATAAACAACATTTTTCAAAAAATTTTTGCTTGCATCAAATAAGCTGTGAGCCACTGTATATGTAGATAAAGTAGTGTAATAGGGGTGATAAGGCAGTAAAATTTAAGAAAAGATGGAAATGAAAGCATGATAAGAAGAAGAAAAGAAGTAAAAAGTAGAAATTTAATAAGTTTGCAATGTTAAAGTTAAAGAAGTAAAAATTAGAAGTTTGAGAAGATTGATAATTTTGATAAATTTGATAAATTTGATAACTTTGCAAAGTTAAAACTAAACATAAATTCATAAAGACTAAATTTTATTTTTTGACTAAAGTAGTTTTTAATTTAATAAAAGTTTAAAGTTTAATAAAAATATTAAGAAACATTGCGTTTTTTTTTTGTTTAAATAACTACATATATATATATATATATATAAACATATTAACAATGTATGTTTGTTGTTAAGTTACTTTGTTAAGTAAACAAAATAAATTTTAATTTTGTTATAATTATCTTTGTAGAACATGATCCTGATGATGACTGTCAAAGAGAAACGAAACATCAATAAAGGATTTTTTAATTTTTATTGGAAAAAAAGTAACCTATAGCCAACTAATAAATAAACAAAAAAATCATTAAACAATTCTAGTTACATATTGATGTTATAACACTTAGTCTTAGATAATTTTTTAATTTTAACGTACTTCCAAGCCGATGGAAAAGTTGCTTATAGTTTCATTTCTTACAAATATGACATGTTACATATGTATTTTACAATTTTTGAAGTTATAGTAATCGTTTTCACAAACGAATCACTGCAATCCTATTTACTCCCTCACAGTGCATTTCTATAACCATAACGCTGTTCTATAACACTGTTCTTTTGTTGCTCTCTTCTAGCAAAAAATAATTCTTGCCACTATGGACTATGGGTCAAAAGAACTTTTTTATATAACTTTATCTTTATCTTATATAAAATTTAAATGAAAAATATGTACGTAAATATTTGTACAATTTTTCCACTGCAAATATATTAAAAAAAATGCGTTAAAATTAAACGTAAAATTTTATATATTTCCTATTCAATGCATATAAAATCGCGTTTAGTATTTGTTGGCTCCAATATAAATAGCTAAACAGCACCAAAACTGAACCGTTGCACATAAAACCAAAGCTAAATGTGCGATAAATTGTTTTCTGGTCCACAATTTGGTGCATGTAAAGTGCTAAAGAGTGCTGGAGCGGCCAATATGTGTCATCTAACTTTAATAAAAATAAAATGCTGGAATGCACGCTAGCAGATAGAATTGCAGATTGCGGACTGCAGGCCGCGGACCGCGGACCGCACGTCTCAAACTGCAAAAGTGTAGCGAATATGGCGCAAGATTTTTAATTAGCATTTGAGCAAACAAAACGTTTCAATGTAGGCTTCACAGGTTTCACGTTAAACAATTTTATGTGTCTAACAAAGTTATGCACTTTAACAACTGATATGTCTGCAATCTTTGGTATCTTCAGGCATCATCACCTAACCCCAACGATACGTAGCGCAGTCTCCAAGCAAGTTAGATACATTGTGCAACAATACAACCACAATTGTTTGCGACTCACAATCCTAACATAATATTATATTTTTTTCACAAGGATTTTATTTATTTTTAAACAATTTCAAGCTTTAAATTTTAACATTTATTTTTTGTCTGTTAACAACTTTACGGTATATCATTCGTTATTACTCTATTAATGTATGGCAAAAAGCTTGACACTCTCGTGTAAACATCAGGTCTGCCCTGTGCACATGTTGCGGTACCATAAGAAACGATGCCGACCAATTGTGTTACGCCAGTTTGTGTTGTTACAAGTGGACCACCAGAGTCACCCTGGAAGTATACGAATAGAAAGTCACAAAATAATAAACATTAAAATTCTGAATTTATCATAGTACATTTAAAGTCATAAAAATAAATGCTTGGAAAATTAAGTCACCAGTTAAAAGATTAAGAAGACATTTCATTTGATCAGAATTTATGTATTAACTAACCTAAGTGCGTTAGAGGTTGCATTTTAGTTTAGAAAAAAACTTAAATAAACACAACCATATTACATAAATAAATATAATAAATATAATATAGAACTTCAATAACTAACCACGCAAGCTCCTTGACCTTTAATGGCCAAAGCACACACTTCACTTTTAGTCACACGAAAACCACGATTTGTACAATCACTGTTCGATATTGTGTTATAGAATAACATTTGTAATTGTTCTGGTAAGCCCACGGTTATAGTAGGTGTAGTCGAACCCCAACCGGTTAAACGTACTGCCACTTTCTCGCCCACACGACTTGTAGTGCCTAGATCTACAGTGCCAATATTGGGTTTAAATAGATTAAAAGGAGGTGTAACTTTAAGTACTGCGATATCATTTATTATTATTGGGCTGATAGAAAATTGTGGATGATATTTTTTGGCAGCTACTTTGTGGCGATCACCACCACTACTCCAGTTTAACGTACCGGCAACCACTGACATATCCTCAATACGCGTTTTGTCTACACAGTGAGCCGCTGTCACTACATGATTCGGTGTTATGATGGAACCTCCACAAAAATGTTGCCATTTGCCACGACGGTAAAGTTGTAGTGATACCTGAAAAGGCACGACTTTGGTAACGTCTTGGCCACCATTAACGCGAGAATTGTTATTTATTTGTGGCATAAATGTCGTGAAGGTTGATTCAGGACCATAAACTACATTATCTTCAATTAAATCCTTGCTTTTAATATCAGTTATGTCATTAGTTTCTACTTCATATCCTAGTACTTGATTTCTGTAATTGTTTAAAACCAAGAAACACATTAAATAAGTTATGATAAACCACATGTTTTAAGTTAACAGTGCAAAGTGAGTAAGTTACTGCCGAAATTAAGAATTGACTGACGAGTAATGAAGAGTATCTATATATACGCAAAGTCAAGAATCTAGAGTACAAAGAAGCACCAAGCTCATGCAAACGGAATTCCCACTTTGTTTGGATGGTGGATTTATAATAAATCCACCCAACCTCATGCAACAATGTTCGATCGAGTCACAACTGGTATGATATACAGTTCAAACCTATATGAGAGTCGAATTAGGCTGACAAAAGCCCGACTGCATACGTATTCAATCATACATGCAACCCCCTGTATGTTTGTTCGCTGTAAAATGTTCACAAAATCTTTAATAGAACAATAAAATAAAATTATCTGTTCTATATTGTTCCGAATTTTGGTGTAAAAGCACAATGTCTCAAAGCTGAGTTTTTCTATTCTATGAAGCTTTGTTTCTAAATGATGGCATGTACAATGTTTCGATATCGTGATCATCAATTTATATTGACTTAGCATTGAGCAGAAATCTTATTCCAGCATAACATCTTCATCTTCTAAGCAATTTGATTGTGAGTTGGACTGATACAATTTCAAAAACAATACCTTTGCCACAATTATATTAAACTTGTTCACCGACAGATTTTTGTTAGGACCACCTTTGGCACGTATATCCGAAAATTTGTTTTCTAATGGATATTGGATGAAGCAACTAGTCACAATAACGGAAATGTTTGTATTTTCTTTAAAGAAGTCGTAAGCCAAAGACAATATGTCAATGATGTCCATAAATTCTGAGGTTTTGGCTGAGACAAATTTGACAAACTAACAAATTTGGTTTTAATTGCCCTTTAATTACTAATTTCTTCAAAGCCTTATTGTTTTTAATTAATTTTTTCCGCCATAAAAGATTCTTGTTTTGATAAAATAACGTTCTAAATAATATGAAAACAAGTGCCACACAAATAAGGAGCTGATTCTGATCTCATCCGTTTTCAAATTGGGGATACTAGCAAAATTGGGGATAACTTCGGCAGAAAAATGATTACTGCATAAATACAATGAGATGTTGTTTTCAACAAATTCATCACTTAATTTACAGTTGTCTGCCCACTCCTTAAAAATAAGCACATCATAGTTTGGAAATTTAAATATGTAGTTTTAAATCGGGAAATTTCTTTTTGGATCTCCTACAATGAGATAAACAACACTTATTACCGACAATTGTTTTACGATCCATTTTAGAGACTTTAAACTTTTTAAACAAATCAAACATAATATGAACGATTTTGAATGTCTAATATATATACATACTAAAAAGCTATATAGTTTTTATATAAACTTTCACAAAACACGCTTTATTTAAAATAATATTTTTTAAAATATTTACAAAAAGTTGAGTTATAATATATACACAAATGTGCAATAAAAACATACCTATGTACATATATACTGGAGACTCAATATCTCCAATATCACATTTGTACATATATAGTGGTTTTTGTAGTGCATAATGTTTTGCAATAGAAAAAGTAATATTTCCTATTACTCTTTACCCTTGTGATAAAGACCTTTCCAGTACAAGAAGATAAGTCCACAAGGTACATGGTAAAATTGTTTTAGGGATATCTTTATAATTCACTTAGTTACCAATCAATATATATTAATGAAATAGACAAATAAAAACAAGAAAGGTAAAAGAAGCATGCATATAAAAACAATTTCGGGTTTCAACTGAACATCATACCAGTTGTGACTCGATCGAACATTGTTTCATAAGGTTTTGTGGGTGAATTTATTATAAATCCACCAGTAAAACAAAGTGGATATTTCGTTTGTATGAGCGTGGCACCTTCTTTCATTACTTTTCATGTATTTGTGGAATGATATTTACTTACTTAATAAATATGCGAAATAAAGATAAGTTCTTTATATAGCTTTACTGATTTAACTTTATAAGAATTTTTTATATTGTAAATAGACTTGAGATAAAGGTTAAAAATATTTATAATTGTTTTACATACCTCTTAAGCTATATGTTTTCATATGCATTATATATACTTCCCACATTTTGGTTATGTTTACCAATTTAAAAAACAAGGCCGTAAAATTATATCCCAAATATTTACTTAGTAATAATCCTATGGTTAATATTTTCTGTTTAAATATGAATTGTTTTTTCAACGCTCTTCCTAGTATTGTAATGTAATGTAAATATTTTTGATATTCGTATTTATTAAATTATTAAACCCATATATTAAGAAAATTAGCTCAAGGTTATAAACAGAAGATGCTAAAATATAAGTACTAGAATGGAAATAGTCCTAATACAGCTAATGTCATCGATTTTGAAACAGTTTACACAGAATATAGTTTATATTTACTTCCTTTAAGTCTTCGCGATGCTTATTGTTAATTCCAATTTATAGTCATTTTCCAGCTCATTTAGAACCTGCACCCAAGAAAGGTTAAGATTTAACCAATTTTTGGTTTGTTAACCCAATTTTATTTGGATAGTCTTTCGGCATCGTATATAAACATGGTTCTGAAAATGTAATTGAGGTGCAGTTTTAACGTATATAAATGTCCAATTTTCGCCCCAGTCTCTAACATTAAAATATATGTATATACCATATATATATATATTTATATATTTTCTTTATTCTTTTCTTTAAGAGCACAATATGTTTATATTGCTCTACTTATTGCTAGAAATAGATTCCATTTTGCTTTTAAAGGTATGTTGGTTTTATTAAGAAGGTATGTTGGTATTATTAACTAACTTATAAGTTATATTACGTTTTTTATACATGCATTAAAAAAACTTAGTCACACTTTTTAGTCACGCGAAACTACATCTTTTATATCTTTTGATTTTTCAAGGGTTTTTAGGTAATATAGATCTTTCGCATCAATGCGTTAAAGTTGAAGAGTTAAGTTTTTAAATGGTAAGTAAAATTTTTTGAAAAGAGATATGAATTTAGTGACATAAAAAAAGTTGCTACAAATTGCACACCTTCTCTTCTAAGGCAAAAATTATATCAATTATTTTTTAAAATCAAACTGTAGAAACAATAACTCTTTTTAAAAAAATATAGATTACGCCACTCTTTTAATGAGAGAGAGAAGAACTTTGGGATGGATTTTTAACACAAATTTATTTAGTTGTTTATTTATAGCAAGTTTAGAGATGAGACGAAGTTGGTATCTCTTAAAATGAAAAGTATTTAACCACTACCTCCCGAGTTTGACCTATAATTACCAGAGACCCTAACATCAAAGATAAACACAGACAGATTAAGCTTATCAGCCTTAAATTAATTAAAAACCGTTGAAAAATAAAAATTTTTTTTTTTTATTTTTTTTTTTATTTTTTTTTTTTATTTATTAACGATTCTTCAAATAAAGACAAAAAATCGTTTTAATATTGCA